CCGCAAGTAGCCCTCCGACAGCAGAGGCGACACCCGCACCCCGAGCGCCTCTTCCCGCGCCTGCGCAGCCAGATCCGCCCCCGCCCCCGCCCCGGCCGAGCGCCTCTTCCCGCGCCTGCGCAGCCAGATTCCCGCCCCCCCCGCCCCGGCCGAGCACCCGGCGGCAGCTTACCCGTCTCGGCGCCCCCTGCTGCTCTGGAGTATGATTTGCACGGGGACGACGGCGAAGGGCAGCAAGAGGCCCGGCCTGAGGAAACGGCCTCCTTTCGCCTGCGTGGGCCCCCGGCACCTGGAGGGGGCGCTTGAGCGGAGGACGCGCAGGCCCCGCGGGTGCCCCCAGCCCCCGGCGCGGCCGCCACCATCACCAGGGTGCTCCTTCCCAGCGAGGCGCGAACTCGGGCGGGCCGGCCGCGTGGCCCTACAGACCCCAGCGAGGCGGCGCGGTCAGTGCAGAGGCCGGGAGGACCGCGAGGCCGCTGCGGCCAGAGCTGCTTCTGTGCCTTGCACGGGGCTCGCTGCCGCCATTCCCCTCGTGTCCGCTTCGGGAGCGTCGCCGTAGAGACCTGGCGCGGCGGAAAGTTCTGAGGCCCGAGGGGCCGCTGCAGCTGGCGAGGGACGCGCTCGGCCCCAGGTCTGGAAGAAGAGGAAGTGTTCTGCCTGGCCGCGCCTGCTTTCCCACCGGTTGTCTGTTAGCGTGCAGGCCGAAAGACCGGGTTCTTCTAGCTCATGGCAGGTTCCGATTAAGAGAATTCGCTTTTAGACCACATGTGATTTCCCAGTTTTTAAGACACAAAAGGCCATAAAATGGCCATTAAAACTATCTCGAATTAAAAAAAAAAAAAAACTATCGAATATTATTTTATCTTTCTCGGATGACCTGAAAGACATCTGGGGATCTTTCCACGCTTCTGGATTTAAGCAATTCTCCTACCTCAGCCCACCGAGTACCTGGGATTACTTGGTGCGCACCACTACTAAAATTTTTGTATTTTTAGTAGAGATAGGGTTTCACCATGTTGGCCAGGCTTCGAACTCCTGACTTCAAGTGATATGCCCGCCTTGGCCTCCCAAAGTCCTGGGATTACAGGTGTGAGCCACCATACCCAGTCCAAAATATTAGTTTTTAGTGAACAGATGCAATTTGGAATTTTAAAAAGTGATAACTAGAATTTTTTCCTTCTTCCTCCTTCTTCCAACTTAACCTTGTATAAATGATAGCTTTTACTTTTCAGACCTAGATGTGTTAATAATTTCCCCTGCAACTTGGTAAACTCTCTTTGAAGAAGTGCGTGATTTGCTGCTACTTTTACGTATTTGAGTCAACCTCAGGAATATGGTCATTTTTGAGTCCATGAGACTTGTCACACAGAACTTGTACCTGCCTTTACCAGAGCCCCCTGGTCATTCCTATTGTATGATTCTGGTTCCATTTATTTATTTATTATTATTATTATTATTATTTTGAGACGGAGTTTTGCTCTTGTTACCCAGGCTGGAGTACGATGGCGTGATCTCGGCTCACCGCAACCTCCTCCGCCTGGTTTCAGGCAATTCTCCTGCCTCAGCCTCCTGAGTAGCTGGGATTACAGGCACGTGCCACCATGTCCAGCTAATTTTTTGTATTTTTAGTAGAGACAGGGTTTCACCATGTTTACCAGGATGGTCTCGATCTCTCGACCTCGTGATCCACCCGCCTCGGCCTCCCAACATGCTGGGATTACAGGCGTGAGCCACCGCGCCCGGTCTGATTCTGGTTCCATTTAAAAGAAAATACTCAGCCTGGCTAACATGGTGAAACTCCATCTCTACTAAAAATAAAAAAATTAGCTGGGCTTGGTGGCATGTGCCTGTAGTCCCAGCTACTCTGGAGGCTAAGGCAGAAGAATCGCTTGAACCCGGGAGGTGGAGGTTGCGGTGAGCCGAGATCACGCCACTGCACTCCAGCCTGCGTGAAAAGTGAGACTCCATCTCAAAAAAAAAAAAAAGGAAAAGGTAAGAAAATTCTCATGGGCAATAAGCGAGAAGGAGCAACGTGGCTTTTTGTGCTTTGAATTTTTCTAATGCCCTTTTCACTTGGTAACGAACTGGCCTCTCTGTCCACCAAATACCACACTCACTCCACTCTTGGCCTGAAAGCCAAGCCTCCTACACACACGTACTCCAGCCTGTCACTCAAGAAGAACCTAAACTGTTTGGTGTGAATTGCGATCCCAATGTATCTGTTCAGGAACACGGCAACATGACCCACTTGGAACGCAGTGATGAGAGATGCAGGCACTGTACCTCTGGTGTCCCAGACCCTCCTTCAGCTGACTCCTTCCTCTGAGCCACTGAGGATCACTTCCTGCTCCATAAAGCAGCAGCCATGAATTAACTGTCAAGTTCACAACGTGGGCCCCTCCCAATTTGACCCAGAAGCTTTGACACTGGGTTCAAATTCTAGCTCCGTGACTTAAAGAAACCCTTTAAAAACTTCCTGCCCTGCTTTTCCTCAGTAAAAAGGGAGTAAATAAAACTCAGTGTGAGTTGGAGAAGCATAGAAAAACTTCGTATCTATAAACTGTCGTGAGGTCGATCTGTAAAAGGCTGTTACTGCAAAATGCTGGCATCATGGATTCCAGGTTCCAGAGTCCACGGTCATTTTTTTTGAGTTCAGTAGATGCTTTACTCCGGGGGGGGGAAAAGAACCCTCTCTGCCTTTCACCATACTGGAGAAACTACTTCCTCATTCTTTTTCCATTCTCTCAGTTAAATATACAGTAACTATTATGGCGGAGAATTTTATCCTAGCTGAAATTCTCCCTTTTCATGAAAACTATGTCTGTGTTTTCAAATTTAGAGGTACACAAATCATCGACAGCAACCTCAAATTTATAGCACAGTCTATGTTCTTTGTGTGACTATATATATTTTGTGTAGGAGAATAAATAAACCCCTAATTGGACAGTCATTCCAATGTGGGAATTTTTTGCTAACGCATGCAAGAGTTCAGAGTGTCAAAATTAAGTCACATCTGATCTTAACATTCTCTTTGCAGGAAAACAACAAGAAAGTACGATTTCTGCCACAAACTTCTGGAACCTTCAGTGGGATCTTTCCTTTTCTTTATGCTGATGGTTGTCTCCAGCCATCCTGCTAATCAGATGGGCACTCGAATGCCTGAACTAGGCTCACGTCAGAGAAACCAACGTCGCCTCTGTGCAGCAGCTGCTTCTGCTTATCTCCAGTGATAATACTCATGGCTACTATTAACTGAGCACATGGGATGAGCAAGGTACAGTTCTAAGTCTATACATATGTTAATTCACTTTTTGGGCTTTTTCAAGAGCAGAGAGCTGCACTGACTCACACAAGCTCACAAGAGCCAGAGAACTGGGTCTGTCCTGCCATACAAACAACCTGATGGATGGTGAGGCAGAAACTAACTGCTGAAATTCTTCAACAGTTCAACAGCCCTGACATACAGTCCTGTTCGAAATCCACTGTGACTGAGTCTTTACTAGGTGGCACTTGGTTTCATATTTTAAGTGGAGGTAATTGTTCCACTACATGACTGGTTCTTGAACTCAAGTGTGATCCTCTGTTAAATGCAGATGCCCAGGTCCCCTCTCTGGAGATTCTGATAAAACAATTAGAGTGAAGGACCCAAGAACTTGCATTTTAAAAAGCCCTTTGTATGATCTTAACACAGGTGGCCTATACTTTGGGAGCTATCCGGTCACATGATGCATTAAATAGGCCTCGGAGGCCTGGGCTTAGGAATCTAAGCACCATGTGTGGTCTCAGGTCATGCTGCCTCCTTGGAACTCAGCTTATTTCTCTGTGCAGTGTGGGAGTTGGAGCAGATGATTTAATGTGCCTTTAAGATCTGCCTTTAAGCCAGGCATAGTGGTTCTCATCTATAATCCCAGCACTTTGGGAGGTCGAGACAGGTGGATCACCGGAGGTCAGTAGTTTGAGACCAGCCATACCAACATAGAGAAACCCCGTCTCTACTAAAACCACAAAATTACCTGGGCATGGCAGTGCATGGCAGTGCATGCCTGTAATCCCAGATACTTGGGAGGCTGAAGCAGGAGAATCACTTGAACCCGGGAGGCAGAGGTTGCAGTGAGCCGAGATCAGATCGTGCCATTGCACTCCAGCCCAGGCAACAAGAGTGAAACTCCATTTCAAAAACAGAAGATCTCAATCTCCCTTTAAGATCCAATAAAGTATATGAAACCGTAAGTTTGTTAGCAGGAAGCAGGTATCTTCTCTCCTGGAGTGACAATAATGCAAGGATTCCCGCATCAGCCGCTGAGAGGCAGCACTCACCTAGAAAGAAAAGAAGAGAATCCAGCCACTGTGTGCCCAACCCAACTTTTCCTAGAACATAATCGTCCCTTGGGTGCCCTGAACAACCATGGTGTTGAGCTCAGCGCTACGGGAACATAATTTCCTTCAGACACAGAACTTGAGAAGGTAAGAACTTTTTGGTCATTCAGCAGATGAGGACACAGAAGACCTGAGTGTCTGAGGAATTGTGCAAAAATCACAAAGTAATGAGAGCTAGGTCCAGGGCTCCAGAACAGACCGAATTCAAAAGCCCATGCTTTTATTGACAGTAATATTCTGCCTCCTCACTCAGTGGCTTGAGGTTATTCTTGTAAGTGTCTATTCTCAAGGCTTGAAGGAGCCTTAGCCCTTTGCCCTAGGAATATTGCCGGCCAAATTGTTACACAGACAGAATGTTCATAGCTTTTTGTAAGTCCGCATGTCTTGATCACCTTTAGATAAATTCTGTTCCAGATTTGATGAAGCTGCCATTTTGGCAAGTGATATCTGGTCATGAATTTTGATGCATTCTTAAGCATTATAGAATAACCCCTATTAATAAGAACTCAAATAATCTGAAGTCTTAATCAATTAGACGGGTGTTTTTTTTTGTTTCTCTTTGTAAGGAGAATAAAAAGATAGAAAAACAAATCTATATCCAGTGCTTAATTTTTTTTTCTCAGTCTGCATAGGGACCATCAAAAATTGCCAATGCTGACTAATTTCAAGTCGTCATGGCAGGGTATTAGGAAAAGTTTTCAAGTAGCAATAATCTCGCTTCAGATAAACCTCATTGGCTACGATACTGGCACTGTACAAAGGTAGCCAGTGCTTAATTTTTTAAAATAAAATTCCAGGCCAGGCACAGTGGCTTACTCCCGTAGTCCCAACATTTTGGGATGCTAAGGCAGGCGGATCACTGAGGCTAACGGTCTGAGACCAGCCTGGCCAACATGGTGAAACACCGTCTCTACTAAAAATACAAAACTTAGCTAGGTGTGGTGACACACACCTGTAGTCTCAGCTACTTGGGAGGCTGAAGCACGAGAATCACTTGAACCAGGAGGTGGAGGTTGCAGGAGGTGAGATCATGCCACTACACTCCAGCCTGGGGGACAGAGGGAAGCCCTGTCTCAAAAATTAAAATTAAAAATAAAACAAATCCCAGGAAAGTTCTTGAGGATTAGTGGTAACTCAGATAACTGTCTTGTTTCAGGTAAAACAAATTCACGCATAGTATGTTCCTGACCCCACGGCGCACACCTGTGTTAGCTCCTGCTGAGCTTGAAATTTTAGGTTCATGTGTCTTTTATTCGTTACTGTATTTCCAGCTCCTGGAATAGTGCTTGGCATGGATGCTCAGTAAATAGTTCCTGGATGATTGAATAAGCTGGAGACGACCTCAAAAATTGTTCTGTATTCAGCACTAATGGCAGCAACTTCCAACAAATTGGGGTAGGCTTGAAAGATCAAACCATTAGGCTATCCTTGTATAGCTCTGCTGTTTATATCTGCAGCCTCTCCACATTGTGAATTGAAATTCAAAATGGTGGCTGTGAGGATCTGCAAGATTCCTGGTCATTCCATTCAACGAGCATTTAATGAGCCTCTCATTGTGTAGAATTCAATTTGACTCAAATATTTCACTTTAGTGGTTCTCAAAAGGAATGGTTCCAGCTCCTCGTGTGCATTTGGGAATCTGAGGGTGAGGGTGTTTCTTGGTTGTCACCATGATTGGAAGAGCACTGCCAGGCACATAGGGAGTAGAGAGCCAGGTGTGGTAGATGTCCTACAGTTTGCAGAGAAGTCCCACGCAACAGAGAATTGCCCCAAGTGCAATGGAAATTAATTTCATGTCCACTGGAAATTAATGTAAGCGACAGGGCTAATTATTATGACCTGAGTTAAATCCTAATGCCATTTTACATAATGTACAAAGTAACTTGTGTTGAAGTATCTTTATTTTTTTGAGATGGAGTTTTGCTCTTGTTACCCAGGCTGGAGTGCAATGGCGTGATCTCGGCTCACCGCAACCTCCGCCTCCTGGGTTCAGGCAATTCTCCTGCCCCAGCCTCCTGAGTAGCTGGGATTACAGGCACGTGCCACCATGCCCAGCTAATTTTTTGTATTTTTAGTAGAATGGGGTTTCACCATGTTGACCAGGATGGTCTCGATCTCTTGACCTCATGATCCACTCGCCTTGGCCTCCCGAAGTGCTGGGATTACAGGCTTGAGCCACTGCGCCCGGCCTTGTGTTGAAGTAACTTTTGCGCTTTTTCAATAACCACTGAATTTCCCCAAAATGCATCTACTATGTATATTGAGAGAAGTATGTACTTTGTTTTCTTCAGATGTTTCAAAAGTTGTTCACCATTTTAGGAAATCACATCACCATCAAGCTATTCATGGTACTTGAGTTTCCAATACAATAACACACCCAAATCAGCCTGTACCCAGCTGTCACATCCACAGTGTCCATACACATGTCAGCAGCTGACCTCTTTATTGTATCACTGATGTAGCCATGCTTCAGGATTCACATGAAGAATTACATATTTAATGATAAACTGCTGGCCTGGTGGTTGCTCACACCTGTAATCCCAGCATTTTGGGAGGCAGGCAGATCACCTGAGATCAGGAGTTCAAGACAAGCCTGGCCAACATGGTGAAACTCTGTGTCTACTAAAAATACACAAAAAGTTAGCCAGGCATGGTGGTGCACGCTTGTAACTCCAACTTACTCAGGGGACTGAGTCAGGAGAATCACTTGAACACAGGAAGCAGAGGTTGAAGTGAGCTGAGATCACACCATTGCTCTCCATCTAGCCTGGTGGCAGAGTGAGACTCCATCTCAAAATAATAATAGTCAATTTCTTAACTAATTTCTCATATATCCCATAGTTAGGGCATTATATTATTTTTTAATGCATGTAGGTAAGTTATACTATCTATGAACTTGATTTCAAAATAGTAAAGTGTTTGCTATAAAAGGGGCATTGAGGAAATAAAGGAATTGAACACTACTGTTCTCCTTGCTAAGAAAGCGGACAATTATGGTTTAGGATTCTATTTTTTAAGCTTGACTCAAGGTCGTTTTCCTTTGTTGACCCAAATGGGATGTGTCTACATAAGTGGATCCATGGTTTCATCTCAACTGGTTCATTTGGGGGAACTTTCAACATGCCTGCGTAGAGAAACCCACACAATTCCTGCTCTGAAAGCATCCAGCCTTCTCTCTATGTCTAAGTTTATATGTAAGATGATGTAGCTGTGCGTTTCTTCCTCTCTCCACACCATCCTGTACCAATTTTAGGGCAGATGATTGAGAGAGAGAGAGAGAGAGAGATAAAAAAAAGAAAAAAACATATAGAGATAGATATAGATAGATGATAGATATTTTTAGTAATGTATATAATTTTTATTTCTTTAAAAAACAATGAGTACATATGCAGAATGTGCAGGTCTGTTACATAGGTGTAGGTGTGCCATGGTGGTTTGCTGCACCGATTAACCTGTCCTCTAAGTGCCCTCACTTCACCCCCCGCAACCCCAACAGGTCCTGGTGTGTGACATTCCCCTCCCTATGTCCAAGTGTTCTCATTGTTCAGCTCCCACTTATGAGTGAGAACATGCGGTGTTTGGTTTTCTGTTTCTGTGTTAGTTTGCTGAGAATGATGGCTTCCAGCTTTACCCACATCCCTGCAAAGGACATGATCTCATTTCTTTTTATGGTTGCATAGTATTCGATGGTGTATGTGTACCACATTTTCTTTATCTAGTCTGTCATTGATGGGCATGGGTTGGTTCCAAGTCTTTGCTATTGTAAATAGTGCTACAGTAAATGTATGGGTGCATGTGTCTTTATGGTAGAATGATTTATAATCCTTTGGGTATATACCCAGTAATGGGATTGCTGTGTCAAATGGTATTTCTGGTCTGATTCTTGTGGAATCATAGGGTGGATAATATTATACTGTGTTACAATGAGGAACTGAGAAACTTTCCCAAGTCCCACAGCTCATGAGTGGAGGCATCACGGTTCAGACAGCCTGCCTTGCAGCTGCCCATCAAACACCAGTTTACAGCCTTTGGCCTCTGGTTATGCACATTCCTGACTCCTAAACCGCTGTGATCTAACTTCTCCGTCCCATCACTGGAAGCTTGCTTTATTTAAGGTTATGAGCCCCTCAATCGTCAAATCTATTCTAGCACATCTTATTTTTAACAGAAAATGTTAATTACTTGTTTCATATTATTTTGTTTTTAATTTACTAATTAACTATACCTGTGGTTCTCAGTCTTTGCTGTATCTAGATCATCTATGAAGACTCTTAAACTTATGCATTTATTTTAAATATGTAATATTTAACCATGGTTCACCATTTTACAGAGAAGACTCTTCTTCCCATCCTGATTGCTCAGCCACTATTATCCCTCTGTAGAGACAACGGATATTACCAGTTTTTCATATATCTGGACCTTGGAAAAAATGCAGACTATTCTCTAAGAGACTTAGATGTATTTAATAGGCCAGTATTGGCCGGGCATGGTGGTTCATGCCTGTAATCCTGGCACTTCAGGAGGCCGAGACAGGTGGATCACCTGAATTCAGGAGTTTGAGACCAGCCTGACAACATGGTGAAACCCCATCTCTACTAAAAACACAAAAATTAACTGGGCATTATGGCGAGCGCCTGTAGTCCCAGCTACTCAGGAGGTTGAGGCAGGAGGATTGCTCGAGGCTAGGAGTCCAAGGCTGCAGTGAGCTATGATTGTGCCATTGCACCCCAGCCTAGGTGACAGGGCAAGAAGCTGTCTCAAAATAAATAGATAAATTAATTAATTATTAAATTTAAAATGTTTTAAAAAGAAGATATTCTGTGGTCAGATTCACTCAAGAAATGCTGTATTACCATGTCCAACACTAGGAAATGCAAAAGGCACATTACCATACACCCCCCTTGGCTTTGTTTAAATGTAATGATTATGAAGCCCAATGTCTGGTTCGTGGCATGGGCCATGAAGTGTTAATTGTTATTCATATTAACCACTCTAAACTATATCCAGTAACACTCTGCAGGCTCCTTTCTGAGACTTTTCTCACTCATAATTACTTAACAAATCGTGTGCAATGATTTGTTAATTCTAACTTTTCTTATTGGATTTCAAGTCCTATAAATATGGGACAGTGTCTGTCTATTTTCCACTGTATCATCTCTGCCTAACATAGGATGATGCACAGTGCTTAATAAAAACAAGTATCAACTGAACATTATTAATACTGTCTTTTAAATCAGTGTTTTCCAAATTTGGTTAACCATGAAACTCTTTTCCCATGCAAGAGTAATTATCATCATATATAAAACAAGTATTTTTAAGAATATGTCTTGAACACTGAATTTTGTCAAATGCCTTTTATTCATCTTTTGAGATGATCATGTGGTTTTGATGCTTAATTCCATGTGGTAAACCATACTAATTGATTTGCATATGTTGAACCACCCTTGTATCCCAGGAATAAATCCCACTCATCTTCTGTATAATCTCTTTTATGAACTGTTAAATATGGTTTTCTAGAATTTTGCTGAAGATTTTTACATCTGTGTCATTGGGGATATTGGGCTGTAGTTTTCTTTTCTCATAGGTCTTTGTCTGGCTGTGGTATCAGGGTAATGCTGGCCTCATAAAATTAGCTTTGAAGTGTTTTCCCCTGTTCTTCAGTTCTTTTGGAATAGTTTAAAAATGATGGGTGTTAACTCTTCTTTAAATGTTTGATAACATTTAACAGTGAACCATCTGGTTCTTGGCTTTTTTTGCTAGGAA